TTTTGGCATGTGGTTTTGATTTGTGTCGTGGGTTTGAACGGAATTTGTTACCTGCCTTGTAGGTTATCCAGGGGCCTCCTGGGAAAGCCTGCAAGGCAAGGGTGGGAAGTGGACGGCCTCCCAGTATTGTTGGCCCCAATGTCTGGTATTCGGAGGTACCTGGCCGATATATCTCTTGAGCTTTTCTCCTGCGTCCTATCTTAAGAGGATTCCTGATGAAAAAACAGCAGTGCTCTATCTAATCCTCTTGTCACCAGTTAATATGTCCAGATTAAGGCAAGCAACATTTTGTTTTTTATCATCCCGAACAGGATGTGAAGAAAACCAGGAGGAGGGTATGTTAACAATGGGGGACATTTCCTTTTCAGTTTAGGAGATCACAGGGACAAAGAACTTCTCTTGTGGTTTGCCGTGCACTCTTTTGCTGTAATATTTGCCACACTGTGCTGCGTCCTTTCAGCTGGATTTGACCAGCGGGAGCAGAAGAGAGAAGCGAGCAGGATGATTTTTTTACTGCGGTTCCGTTCGTCTCTTCCTTCTTTCTCTGGATCCTTTCAGCTGGATTTGACCAGCGGGAGCAAAAGAGAGAAGCGAGCAGGGTGATTATTTACTGCAATTCTGCTCGTCTCTTCCTTCTCTGTATGAACAACTTCATAAAAAGCGTGTTGGCCTCCCTCCCCCCCCGTACCATTCCTACTGGTTCCATGGAAGGAGAGACAGATACGTCTTGCATCCATTGGGATGAGACTCAACAAACTTGAGTTATCGGTTTTAAAAGCTTCGGGCCTCGTTGTGAAATGTGGGATCCATCCTGCCCCCAAGGGAGTTTTCCTCCCTTTCCTGCTTAGGTGTCAACAGAGTGAGGAAGGTTGTGCTGGAGATCTCCTTCCCTTCTTGAAATTGCCAAAGCTCCGGCCTTTGCATCTTAGGTATCGGGGATCTTGGGGAAAACAGGACACGTGAGTTCATAGGATACTAAAGCCAAGAGCCCTGGGAAACAGTATTTTCAGAGTCCACGGGAAGGGATCAGAACTTGGGAGGTGACAGGTTGATATGGTTACTGTTATTTACCTTAACTTTCTAGCAGTGGAAGAAAACCCAGAGGGGGGGGGAGAGAGAGAGATGCTGTCATCATAAACGCTGGTTCATAATCATGCTGTCTTGCACTATCCATACCGTTGTTGTCCCTCCTTCTTCCACAAAAGTGTGGAGGGTGTGACTTTGCTGCTTCACCTCTGGACTTAGGCTATTCCAAAGGGCATACGTTGTCGCTTAGGACCTCATAACAATATCTGTAATAAAATCTGCACAGCTTTTTTGGGGGGGAACACAAACTTATAAAGTGGTGGATTAAACACAGAGTGCAGATTGCATAGCTGTGTGTCAGGGGGAACGGGGAACCAGATCCTTTTCCTGCTTCCTGTTGTATTACACCTGAATTAATGGCTTTGTATTTCCTTTTAAAAGCATTTTCAAGGGCCAGTGTTAGACCTAGGTAAGGCACTACAGGATGTTTCTCCGTCGTTTTTCCAGGTACGGTTTACAACGATAACCTGTTGATAACGACCGATGCGAAGTACTGTTTGCACAACCACTCCCTCAAAAATCCTGGCACCTGAGACTGTGCCTCTAAGAGCCACCAAAGTGTCCCAGGAGGGATCCAGAATGCTTGAGCCAAAGAGGGACTTTTAAAGAGTAAAAAACCTGCGAGAACTTTGTGTCGGAGATAAAGGCAAACTTCACCTCATTGCCTCACGGCTTCCACGTGGGGGCAACCGGGAAGGGGTGGAAGAGATGCTGCATTTCTATCTAGTCTCACAAATAGTTTGCCTGATTTCCTTTGACATCTTCCCGCAGGGCCACCTCATACACTGGGTACCAAGACACCTCCCAGATGTCCAAAGGTTGGGGTGTGTGTGTGTGCCAGGAGAACAGCCTTAGAAAACAGCCTCTACTGATGGGCAGCTTTGGAAGCAAAAGTTGTTTTTTTGGAGGGGGCACTTGTAATTAAACCAAGCTTCTAAAATCAGTGGCACTGCCACCCATCCAGGAAATTGGCTTCTACCGCCTTGGGGAGATGTTTCTGCATGCGTTCCTTTGGCTGATGCTGCTTTTGAAAGACTTCGGCTCATCTCCACTGGGAGTGTCTGTTCCTTAATTCTCTTTCTCTCACGCCCTCTTTTGAGAATCCATGTCCTCCTAGAAGTCATTCAAGGGTCTTCTAAAATTCTGGTTTGGATTTTAACAGCCAGGATTAAAATTTGGCACGAGTTAACAATGAGCACGTGTAACTGTGATCTTTGTAGTTCATGGGGTTTAGTTGTTTCAAATGGCACAATGGATCCCCAAGCCCTTGAAGTGGGTTCAGCCCTCTTCAAACTAATAATAATAATAATTTATTTTCATTGTAAGTATATACACAGTATACCCATACAACGAAATTCAGCCTAAGAAGGCTGGAAACTAAGCCCTAAGAGGAAAGACTGGAAGAAATGGGCCTGTTGAGCCTTGAGAAAAGAAGACCGAGGGGGTGATATGATAGGACTTTTCAAATATTTGAAAGGCTGTCCTACAGAGGAGGGACAGGATCTGTTCTCCATCATCTCAAAGTGCTGGGCATGTAATAAAATGGGCTCAAGCGACAGAAAGCCAGAATATCAGGAAAAACTTCTTAACCGTTAGAGCAGTACAACAATGGAACCCCATGATCCCTGTAGGTGGTGAGTGCGCCAGCAATGGAGACGTTCAAGAGAAAACAGGACCACCCTCTGTCCGATCTGCCTTGACTTGGGTTCCTTCCTTGAGCGGGGGGGGGGGTTGGACTCCATGCCCTTAGAGGCCTTTTCCAACTTCATTATTCTATGATTCTGTGAAATAAGAAGCCTGGGAAAAAGTTGTTTCTCGGATGAAACATTACATTTTTATCACAGTAATAAGGCAGTAACTTTTCCAAGCTCTGATTCAGATCTTTCATCCTTTCCACCCCCCGTATTCTTTCCTTTCGACAGGCAAGGAAGAGTCTGTCCCATCGCTTGGTACTAAGATCCTTTTAACTGGTCATCCTATGGACTGAACCAGGGCCTTCCTACCCTCCCAAAAGTCACATAGTTTTCTCTTTGCAAGTTTTAAGTTGCTAAAGCACCATCTGAAGGATGCATCGTCTTCCCTGTATCTGTATTTCCTCCCGTCCGTCATTCTGGCATCTTTGCAGGGCTGTTCCCATTCCCGTCGCACGTTCCTTCTTTTCTTCCCAATTCATTCATACTGCGAGAGAGAGAGAGAACGCTTTCTCCCTATCGGAGGAAAGCCAAACCAGCTGTTTTGCTTCCTTCACAGATGTTGGTCAGCAGCTGCTTTTCTTTCTTCTCTCCTTTCTCTCTCTTGTTGGCCAAATCTTTTCCAGATGTTGTGGCCTCTGTAAAAAGGGGAGGTCTGTGCGGTTTCCTCGTCATGCCCGGACGGACGGCTGGGCCAGCGCTGGATAAGCCCTTTTAAACCAAGGATGGTGGCGGCTGGAAGAGGAGGGAGGGGAACGGGACACCAACTTCATTTCTGAAAGTTTTGGCGTGGCCTTCCTCTGATCTGTTTTGTTTTAGCTTTATTTCCTCCTGATGTTCTGCGTCCCATTCATGCTAATCACAGCCAGACCTGATTTTTCCCCCTCCCTCTTTCCCTTCTCCCTCCTTTTTTTATTTCCGCATTTGTCATAAAATAAAGCAAATTATTTCCATCTTCAGAAACGATCTAGACTAATTAGTCGTCTAACCCAATAATTAGCTTTTTGTTTCCCTGTCTGTTTTCCCTACATTATTGTTAGTTTTCTCCCCACTCCGGAGTTGTTCTTGCTTTTTTTTTTTAAACACCATTACAGATTAAAATGAGGCACATTTGCAGTTGATGGGATACGTTTCCCCCCCTTTTTTGCTCTCTCGTTTCGGGGGAAGAATGGGGGAAATTGCAATAGAAAAGCTACTTGAGAAGCAGCCATAAACTCAAAGATAAATTAAGGAAATTGAATGAGCCACATTTGAAAAGTGGCAGTGAAGGCTAATACTCCCTCGCTTAAGGTTAAATTGAGATGGGGTGGGGGGGAGAGTGTCTGTTTACACCCATCCAAAATTCGAGATGCGCCACTTGTTTGCCAAAATATTGTTCTGTCGCTCCTAGTAAATTTTGGTGGGGACTCTCCATCTCAGGTAGCTCCCCAGGTAGATCAAGGCAAACTTTTTTTCACTCCGTACACAGAGTTGTGTAGTTGCCCAAACGCCATTGACTTCCACTTGATTCTTCAGTGCTTGGTTGGGAAGTTACTTCTACAAAGTAAATTAAGTGGCAAAATGCAATTCCAGGGACCAGACAAATCGCTGCTGACATAGTTCTAAGTTTGTTTTTTAATGCTCTCTCTGTTTTTAGCCACGGAAAGTAACTCAAACGGTTTCTTTGGGTAACTTTTTAAAAGAAGAATCCTTTGAAGTGATCTCTAGGGAAAGCTTTTAATGGAAGATCAGTGCAAATGATCTTTCGGATCTAAAATCCTATGAATCCGTGATGCTTCAGCCCATAATTGTGGGATAGTTATTCTTCCTTGCAGTAGTGAATTCAGTCCGTGAGTTCACGCCTACAATAGTCATCCTGCATTCAGAATTGCAACCAAAATGGGGCCACCAGCAGCCCCTACCAGCACCCCACCAACTGAGCATGATCAGTTGCCATTGACGAGAGAGAGAGAGAGAGAGAGCACATTCTCAGCTCAGAGAACATGCTTGGCTTTTCAGAAATGATGAAGTACAGGCCTTTCTCAGACAGTGGATCCCGTCACAATCAGGATCGTAACAGAGGATCTAGCAAACGGTTGCAAATATTTTCTTCTGCAAGCAGCTGGAAATAAAGAGTGAAATATTTGAGGTGGTTGCTGTGCCTCCTTAATTATACAGAAATCAATCAGGGAAGCAAAGGTGTCTTTCATTGTCTTTAAAGATGTTGTCTTCTTCGTCCACCAGGACTGACGGATGAAGAAATTGACCTGGCTTTCCAGCAGTCGGGAACCATCAAAGAAGAGCCTCAACCCTTAGGTCTCTCTACTCAGTTGGGACCGGCTCAGCCCCCTCACCTTGCTCCCTACAGTAAGTAGCCCTGTGAAAGTGGCCACTGTCAGTTGTTTTATTTCCAAAGCATCTGCCAATCTGTCTTCTTTCTTCAAGCAACGAGAAGCACGTGAGAAATTCTTAAAGGATTAGATGCAAGAAGGTGAAAGTACAGTAAAAAGAGACTAGGTGTCTGATTTAAAAATATGATTCTTAAAGGTAACAGTCCTACTGTCCATATGTTTTGCTGTAAATATTTTGTTCAAAACATTGCAAACATACGTATCTTTTCATCCTTGTGCCGTTTTCCTCCCCACTCAATAGGGTTCCAGGGAATGAAACAGAACCTGTAGGTGACTTGGGGAAACGTCTGCAAATAATGATTTTATTTGTAACTATTTGGGGGATAACGTTACTGTAATGTAACAACTAGTAGCTGATAGATTTATTGTGGGTTTTTTTTAAAAAAAGGTAACAGGTAGCGTTTACTTGTTATTTGAAAAATGTTCTAATGGGGAATTTTAAGGAAATATTTTTGTTATATGTTTAAATGTTTTTTTTAAATTGAAGAATATAGCTTTATTAAGATGTTGCTCATCTTACAGATGAGCACCACTAATAATATTAAGAAGTAACAAGAAACCAACAATGTAGCGCTAAGAATAATAATGCTAATGCGCTAGTTTTTGCAGTGAATTCTGCATCAATGAATAGCGCCAGTTCTTCTTGAAGTCCAACCGAGTGGGAGTCAAGATCTGTTTCTTCACTGATGCTTATCTATCAGCAAATCCTACCTTGTTCATCAGCCACTCCTTTAAGGGGAAAAAGAAAAGGCATGCGAGTTACCTTCCCAGGTCAGAGTCCTCCAGTCCTAGATGTGATTAGACAATTTCTCATGAGTAAGCTCACTTACACCTACTCGTTCCAGCAAAGGTATTATAGAGCACACTGCAACTTTGTTGGCTCCCTGTTCTTTGGCTCCCATCCTTGCTCATGAAAATGACAGGCAAATTAATTAATTACATGCAGCAACTCAAAACGGGCAATTAAGCCACAGCCCTTTGGATCAAGCTGTAATTCTGATGCTGCTCTCCAACTGGCTTCGGAGCTTACTCTGAAGTGGAGAGAGAACCCAGGAGGGAGTGAATTTGCCGATCTGATTCGGATGTACGGGCATGGCACGGTCTGCAGCAGAATGTGCCGCCTGGGAATTTCAAGTGGGGGGGAAAAATCACACATTTGGATGCTATTGGGCTTCTCTGTAATAATTCCCCAGCTAGAATCCGGTTGAGGTCACACAGCATAAACCGCCCATCACCCAAGCAAGTGTCTCTAATATTGATGTTTGTCACATACTCACTTGGACGCGACTATTTAGGTTGTTCCCTTAAAACACACGTGGTATTTCACTATGTGATGTTGATCCTAGAAGAGTTTTGTCTTCTTTTATTTTTAAGAAAAACATGTCCGAGAAGTAGTCATTAACAGTGGTGGTTGCAATAGTACTAGTCGTGTATTACGGCTAAAATGAGTGGTAAATGATAATAATTATCTTTTTTTTTTCTTTAAGCCTCTTTCTGCACGTGCAAAGGTGACGTGTTAATATGAGGTTAGCAGTTTTAGAAAGAAGCTAGTTTTCCATGCACAGGAAATTCTTCTTTTAATAATAATAATAAATAATGATAATAACCTTAAAATTGCAGAGCTTAGAAGGGACTCTATGGATCAGTGAGTCCAGTTCCTGCCAAGGAGGCCTCCAGTGGAGATTCGAACTCCCAGCCTCTGGCTCTGGAGCCAGAGACCCTTAACCACTGAGCTATCCAGCAGTTCTTTTGGTTTGCTTGCTTGCTTGCTTGTTTTATTTCTGATGTGATTTCAGTCTTTCTCATATGGCATACCTGATTTTGCAGTTTGAAAAATCAAATGGAAACAAATCGAGTAGACGATGTCTAGAGGGATGGGGTAAAAATCGAATAAACAAACAAACAAACAAACAATTCTCCTTTGAAAATTGCACTCCTCTGAATTTCACCGTCGAATTCTCCACTTGAGAAAGGTGTACAGAAATGAGGGAAAGTGCACAGCGAATGCACCTGTTGTGAAAGTTCAAATCAAAAATGCCTAATTTAAGGGGAATTATTTGCAAAAAAAAAGAGGTATTTGTTGTTTAGTTGCTAAATCGTGTCGGACTCTTTGTGACCCCCACGGACCGGAGAGCATGCCAGGCCCTCCTGTCTTCCACTGCCTCCCAGAGTTGGGTCAAATTCATGTTGGTCGCTTCAATGACACTGTCCAACCATCTCGTCCTCTGTCGTCCCCTTCTCCTCCTGCCTTCTCACTTTCCCAACATCAGGATCTTTTCCAGGGAGTCTTCTCTTCTCATGAGATGGCCAAAGGATTGGAGCCTCAGCTTCAGGATCTGTCCCTCCTGAGTGAGCACTCAGGGTTGATTTCTTTCAAAATGCATGGTTTTGTTGTCCTTGCAGTCCAGGGGGCTCTCAAGAGACTCCTCCAGCACCACAATTCGAAAGCATCAATTCTGCGGCAGTCAGCCTGCGGTCAGCCAGGACTGAAAAAAACATGGTTTGGACTATGCGGACCTTTGTCGTCAAGGTGATGTCTTGTCTCTGCTTTTTAAGATGCTGTCTAGTTTTGGCATCGCTTTCCTCCCAAGAAGCAGGCGTCTTTTAATTTCGTGGCTGCTGTCACCATCTGCAGTGATCATGGAGCCCAAGAAAGTAAAATCTGTCACTGCCTCCATATCTTCCCCTTCTATTTGCCAGGAGGTGATGGGACCAGTGGCCGTGATCTTAGTTTTTTTGATGTTGAACTTCAGACCATTTTTGGTGCTCTCCTCTTTCACCCTCATTAAGAGGTTCTTTAATTCCTCCTTACTTTCTGCCATTAGAGTGGTATCATCTGCATATCTGAGGTTGTTGATATTTGTTCCAGCAATCTTGATTCTGGCTGGGGATTCCTCCAGTCCAGCGTTTCACATGATGTGGTATACTAGGCAAAATTATAAGCAGAAATGTGTGTATTGGAAGAAGCGGTAAAGCAGCGATGTGAACATGCCATCCAGAATTGCCCGTTGGTTGTTCTTTCGACGGGCAGCTTTGAAAATGTGGGTCCCAGAAAGTGGTCATAAATCACAGGACCTTTTCCAAACTTTCATGCACTTAAGTTTTCTCCGGCCCTCATTTTCTGATCCAGTTTCTGTTTAGCTGAAGGGCAGAACTGTTTTTCTCTTCTTTATTCTTTGTGTGTGCAAATGTTCACACCCCTGCTTGTGTGGTTGAATCTTTTCTCCTTCACGTCTCCTTTCCCCTGCAAGAGGTGTCAAAACTGCTCTCTCTCTCTCTCTCTCTCTCTTTTAAGGGATCACCATCACAAACCTCAACTCCTTGATTTTGATTAATATAGAGAAACAAGACTTAGGTTGACTGATAATAAAACTGATAAATGACATCTGAATTACTTGTAGCGGTAATTTATTACATAAAATATCTTTTATTTGACATGCGATTAGTCGCTGGAAGCATCACTCAATCTGACTAGTTTAAACACGCTCCCAAACTGAACCCCCCAACTGTAGGAGGGAAGAAGGAAAAGAGCAAGAGGAGGAAAAGAGAAATGGTATTTGCTCTCTACCGCTGGCACATAGGAAATATTTTAAACCGAGAGTGAGGGCAAATCTAACTTTAAGTGTTTAAATGATTGACGGAGTTTATAATACTTTCCTCTCATCTTTTAACTCCCTTCATTGCTAAGGTGTGTGTAAGGGGTGTGTGAATCTCCTGGGTGTTGTCAGGATCCCCCAGTATTTATGGCCATGGCATGTGGGTGTTTGCAAAGATTTAAACTTTTTCCTAGTCTTGGCTGTCTCTTCTACAAAGCAGGCAATTCCTCCCACGCGCACCCTTTTGAGTGCAAAGCCAGGGCTACGAATTGCCAACTTAGGAAGGTCACCCTGGGTGAGCTGAGGGTGGCCTCCAGGCGATCACTGAGAGATCTCAAGAAATTGTGTCTCTTTGCTCCGTGAGCCTTTGACCCAAGGGAGCAAAAAAGGGAGTATCAACGCATGTGGCTTTTCTCTTCTGTGGGATTCCTAAAAACGTAATGTTCCCAGATTCTGGACTTTTGCCTATCCTGTTTAGTTCCTGACACAATAAATTAGTTGTTATCACTGCAGAATGATGAAAAAGAAGGACTCTGCCATAAATCTGCCAAGGTTACAGGTCCTCAGGGTTGGAAATGGAGCGCAGGAGTTGGTGGGGAGTCCTTGCTAGGGTTTCTCCCTGCCCTCCATCCCCGAACTAGTTCTTCTCCTCCTTGGTGGCTTTATTTTTTATTTTTTTGCCAGAAGACAGAATTGTTTCACACATCCCTAAAATGAGTAAAATGGCATTTCAGCTTCTTGTCTTTATAGACTCTCTGAACTTTCTGAAAGATCATCCCGGTCCCTTTTCATTAATAATGAAAACCAGGGGGCAATAAAATGATCTTAGCGCAAGCATTACAGGAATGGAGAGAGAGATGAAAGAGGTGAAAGGCCACCGCGGATCCAGTTGTTGTGGGGGGGGAATGGTAGGGGGGAGAGGGAGACCCACAGGTGTCTTTGGATTCATCCTGGAGGTCAGAGCCATGGGGAGGGGCAGAGATTTGAGGTCTGGACAGAAGGGGGAATGCTATGCCAGGCATGGTTCGTAAGGAGCTACCCCAGGCGGAGATCCCCTTACCTAGGGAAGACACAGGTTTTGTCTTTTGAGCTTTGTTCGATCGACAGATGAAAGTTTCATTCATCAGAGGACAACATTTTTTTAGAACTGAACTACAGCTCTATTTCCCAGAGCCCAGCTGGGAAAGCAAAGTGAATTCATGATGTCCCTTCTCACTCGCTTCTTGCTCGTGTCCTCTTAAGGTCCTCCAAGCTCCAGATGGCGGGATTACGGTGCTCTAGCCATCATCCTGGCCGGCATTGCTTTTGGCTTCCACCAGTTGTACAAGGTAAGGAAGGGGGGAGGCCACTGGGCTTTGCTGAGGCTGTCCAGGGGGTGGGTGGGCAGCAGCTTCTGATCCCCTTCATGCCGCACCATGGGAGGGCTGCCCCCGTGTACACCATGGGGGGGGGAATGGAGCTGGGAAAGTAGGAACAGGCATGTTGGGTGAAACCAAAGGGCAGTTATGTTGAGTCCCCGCTCCCCAAGGTGGTCAACCAAATGCCCGCAGGAAGATTGCCAGCAAGACCGCGTCCGTACTCCAGTGGCAGAAGGTCTGCGGTTTGTATGCAAAAAGTGCCAGGTTTCATCCCCAGCCTCTCCAGTTGAACCCGAGGTGAGTAAAGGGCAACACAGGAGCCCCGTGCAACCCTCAAGGCTAATTTTGAGGGTCTCCGAGACCCCCACAGAGGATGTTCCCCCCCCCAAAAGTTATTTTTTTGAACTGCAACACCTGGAAGGTTTCAGGGAAAAGTAACTTTTCAAAGCGATACCATAAAACAGCTGCCAACACGCCATACTCTGCCTAAACACTGGAGCGTGTCCCTTCTTTCTTGGTATTATCAGTTGGGTTGGACATTTCTCTGTTCCACGCAGGCTTTGGGGTTGTCTGACATTTCAGTGTATGCTTTGGGCTATTAATTCAGTTCCCTTGCTTTTAGTTTGATTGGTATAATTGGCAGTACTTTTAAATCTTTTCAGCTTAAAAAAATAATTCCTGATCTTTTTTGCTTTGCTGCATTTTGGGGGTGGGCACTGGAGCCTTTGTCTCATAAACCTTTGTAAACCTGCTTCACTTTGAGTCAGGGGGTAGGATAAAAATGTTTTTAATAACATAAATAGTGCCATTCCCTCTCCAAAAAAACAAAAAAACAAAAACAAAAAAACCCACAACCAACCAGCCTCTTTTTCAAATCAATGTAGAGTACTGCAGAGTAAATCACTCTAATAGCCAAGTCAAGTTATTGACTGCTGGCAGAATTTGAACCAAAAATGGTGACGAACAAGAAGTAGATCAAGCTTACTGGAATGAACCCAGAAGTATGTCGATGTGCCACCAAACACAACAAAAATCTGAATTTCAAAAGGGAAGCGTATAAGGGAGCACCAAAGCACGCACAGCCAAATCATCACAGAGTGTGCAGACTGAGCCTCAGTTAGAAAAAATTGACCTGAGATGTGGAGCGTCCACTACACAAAGAGATTTCCAACGTAACTCCCATTTAGAAGTGAAGAACCCTGAGAAAAGAGAGGGCTATAGTTACATTTCCTTTCCCCAGGTTAATTGCTCGGACGGCAGAGCCAAGGGGCAAAGCCATTGGCTGTCGTATTCCCCACTAGAGTGAGATAGACTGTATTTCTACTTGAATGATAGCAAAGGAGTCCCAGTTTGCATTTACACACACATATATGAGTGTGAACAATTTTGATGTGCATCTCTGTGTGTCTACGTCCAGTTCAGACCACCCTCCTTAGTGCAGCGACATGGATGTCACAAGGCTGTCTCCTGTTTTCATTCATGAAATGTTCTGGCATATGCAGATACCGACAAAAGGCCGCCGTGAGACATCTGTATCATTAACACTTTGATACAGGTGTCTTTATACACTTTAGATCAGGCGGAGAACATTTTACCCACCCCCAGGCACTTCAGGTTTTTTTCCCCAATTATTTTTCTTCTTGTGAGTTTTTTTTAAAACCATAGTAAGCTTTCTTGAAAGCACACCTTTAAGTATCTCCTTCCAGCTCTGTATTCATTTTCTCCCTTTCCCCTCTTTAGAGCTGGAATTAGAAGCAGATGCTAACCCAGCCCTCTCCTCGCTTAATGTGGTTTATTAAAACAGTTTTTTGACCCTCCTGAAATTCCTTTTCATACATCCTGAGGTGTCCAGAAGCCATTCTTCGTTCCTGGTTTGGATGTAACCAGAAGCCAGGGTTGTGTTCAATGATGTAAGCCGCCTTTTAAGGAGAAAGGTGGGGTAGAAATATTTTAAATAAATAAACAAACAAAGAAAACAAACAAGCTGGGACTTGAAAGACATGGTGCTTTTTAATGAAGTCAGACCATAAAAGTATCTGAAAGTTAGTTCCACTACAGAAAGAATGAAACTATTCCTTTGTCAATGTAATGTCGTTCTTGTTATGGGAGAAAGAAATTAATTATTAGTGGTGGTGCTGTGGGCTAAACCACAGAAGCCTGTGCTGGAGGGTCAGAAGACCAGCAGTCATAAGATCGAATCCATACGACGGAGTGAGCGCCCGTCACTTGTCCCAGCTCCTGCCAACCTAGCAGTTCAAAAGCATGTAAAAATGCGAGTAGATAAATAGGTACCATCTTGGTGGGAAGGTAAATCAGCATTCCCTAGTCACGCTGGCCACATGACAATGGAAAACTGTCTTCAGACAGGCGCTGGCTCTACGGCTTGAAAAGCCGGATGAGCACTGCCCCCTAAAGTCGGACAAGACTGACTAAAAAATGTCAAGGGGAACCTTTACCTTGGCCTTTAATTGGTGATTAGGTAACGAGTGCCCTCTAACCTCTGGTCTCTGAACCATGGGTTAAGCTCCTTGTGGTCCCGGGGTCCCTGCTTAGAGTTGTAGTTTGAGAAGCGGGAGAAGCTATCGGTTGTGACTTTGACCGTATATTTGGAGGCATAAGCTTAGCACAAACTGTGGCTCCGTGTGACGTGTAGGCACTGAGCAAGCCCTTCTGAGCTCTGGTTTTTTCACTATCGACATCGAAACGCAAGCCCTTGTTACGGCAGACCTCATGGGATGCCTGCCTCGAACCTGGGCTCCAAACGCCCCTTATTTTCTCCTCTCCTACACCTCTCTTCGGTGCAGAAATACCTGCTCCCTCTGATCATGGGAGGCAAAGAAGACCGGAAGCAGCTACAGAGGATCGAGGAAAACATCTCAGAAATGAGTGGCAGCGTGACGCAGACAGGTGAAGATTAATGATTCCATCTCTTCCTGCCCCTCGAAACCCCTTCTCTCCCCATCTCGCCCCCCCCGCGCTCACGCTCCTTCCTTTCCTTCTTTCCTCAACCTTCTCCTCCATTCTCCACTTTATGTGGTGACTTCATTTATCTGCTCTGAGAAATCTGTTCACATTTGCAAATGAAGCCGCCGTCATTTCGGTTTAATTTGAAATTGCTTGTTTACTGTCGGCGCGGCCTCAATTAATTATGTTTTTACGGAAAGGCTCCCAACCTCAGAATATTAATAAGGGGAATAAAATGACAGCCTTTCGAAGGGGCTGTAAAGTTCATTTTTAATTTCTGCTTCTCTGGTGGTTTTCTTCGGGGTGGAGGTTTTTTTGGGGGGTGGGGGGAGGGGATCTTCTCCCACACCCCCACAACCACCACATTTTCCTTCTGAGTATTCAAGGCAGGGTTAGGAGCGTCTGTAATTATGGAGTGTTTCCCCCAACCTTGACAACCTTCTCTGTTATTGACTCCATAGGGCAGGCTTTTCATTAGCCAGTGCCCTAGTGAATGACCTAAATTAGCTGCTTACCTGTCACGCCACTGGGACTTTTTTTAAAAAAAAATGAACCTGTTTACTGGATGGAAGCTCTGAATTACAATTTAAAGGTGGGGGGATGAAAACAAAAAATTTAAAAATGCAGTTCCCCTCTTCCACAAGTCGGCTTTCGTTCTACAAAAAAGTTTCCACCCAACCCTGCCGAAGACCGAATCTTTGGCCCTGTTCGCAGAACAGATACTTTCGTCTTAGTAGGTCTGCAGATACGTCTTTGGAGTTTATGCCACCTTCCCAGGGATCAAGAAGCTCTCCAAGTGGCTAACAGACGTCACCACAAAAAAAATAAGCAGGAATCATCAAAAGAGTTCAAAAGGGGCAGAATACAAAGATTTTAAAAGCAGCTGAAATGGGAGTCATCTCAGTGGGTTGTGGAAAGGATGCAGATGGTCCTTGTGTGATCGCTGCCACATGCTGAGTGATCTAGAATTCACGAACACCAAAACATGACACAGAGACCTGGTCTCCGCTCTGTCTACGCCTTGCAAGGGCCCTCCCCCATTTCAGAAGCTGGTCTGTCTCCCGACCAGGCTTCTATCTTGAATGTCGGGCCTTTTCCTTTTCGCAGCTCGAAGACAGATAAACGAGGCCAGGGCTGTACGGGTTCGTGGAGACCATGCAAATCATAAACTGCTGTAATTAGAAGGGAGAGGTTTGGGATGTAGGCTATAGACATCTATACAAAGGGAAGATAAAGAGAAATAGCAGGAGGTTAGATGCAGTACAGGTAGAATGCCCACCGTGCAGATAAATTACAACAGGTTAGAACGAGCCGAAGCTCGTAGATAAATCAAAAGAGTAGAGGGATGGAGGAGTCTCACACTTCGGCATTGGAAGGACACCTTTTAATAAGGCGCGCTTGCCTTTGAGCCTCTTCTCGTTTAATGACCCTTTTGCTTTTCCCCGCCTCTCCTCTCCTGTCTCTTGCGCAGTGACTCAACTTCAGACCACTCTGGCCTCTGTGCAGGAACTTCTCCTACAGCAACAGCAGAAGATTCAGGAGCTCACCCAAGATCTGGCTGCCTCTAAGGTACCCTAAGGTTTTCAGCACCGTAGGTTAATGGAGCCTCCATGTTAAAGGCCTGTCTACCTCTGAATATTAGTCGCTAGAGGGAAACCTCAAGGAAAGTGCTGTATGTTCTGAGTACCTTCTTTTAGCGTATTCTGCTTTTCCTTTCCTTTTCCCTCTTTTCGTCTTCCACTAAGACCTTTTAGACTGGAGCTGGATTTATCAGAGAAGCTAAGAACAGCCTGGTCCTGGGAACACATTTTTTTAAAAAAAAAATTTTTATTTTATTTGCAACACAGCGTTGAGGCAGTTTACTGATTATTCCTGTAAAAGTTACCACATAAAGGAGTCTGTGTCAACAGGCTGGTTTTCATGATACTGGTTTTGATGGCAGCGGGGCCATGTTATTAAAATACATCTGTTCTGATTTTTTGGAAAGACAAAACGTGCTTTTGGTTTTCTCAAGTGGCCCGCAGAGATTCCCCAATCATTTTGAAATGGCCCACATTATAAAAATAAACACGTTATAACATAAACGGACAACAAGGAAGCCCCTCACGCTGGCCGAGAGCCTCGCTGGCGACCTGGAGCCAACCAGAAAACTAGGAATATCTGCACTTCGGGTCGGAAGTGTTCACATTAAGAGCACAGGTCATAGCGGAAGAAGAGAAAAGAGCATGTTGCTTTGGCCAATTTTGCAATGAGAGAGAGTCATTCAAAAGGTCTCCATACATTAAGAGCACAGGTCATAGCGGAAGAAAAGAGCATGTTACTTTGGCCAATTTTGCAATAAGAGAGAGTCATTCAAAAGGTCTCCGTTTCCTTCCTTCCTTCCTTTCCTTTTTCTTTAAATCGTACTTTTCTTTAAATGGTAGCATTTGCGGTGTGATCAAAACCTCATGTGTGTTTGTATAGATGCAAAAGAGTGTCTTGGCCAAGCCTATAAACTTTAGGGTTAAAAAAAGCGGTGGTGGGAAGGTATTGGGGAGCTGAGTTTTCTGGGCTGCGATGTACTGTAAGTTCTTATATCTGCTTTTCAAAGTCTTATTGGCATGCTGTAAAAAACAGGAGGGGCTTTAAGTAATTTTTAAAAGCCTACATTAAATTAAGGGGAAGTGAGTCTCAAGGCTTGAATTTTTTTTTAACCTCTTGTGTTTCTGTGTGTGTGTCTAAAAGAGATTGGCTTAAAAAAAACAGATGTCAGGTTTTATTTCTTAAATCCTCTAGCATCTGGCACCATATGTGTTTTGGAAATCTGAATCCCTTCGCAGGCCAGTGAGTGGAAATCTCTCTCTCTCTCTCTCTCTTGTTAAAGTGCTTCTGTCACTTTCAGAGCACTTGGGGAGCCAGAACAGTGGTTCCTGGATCCTCACTCCCTTGCAATGGTCTCACTCCCTCGGGAGACCACAGCTGTGCGTGTGTTTGTCAGCTACTATCCATCACAGCCGGGAACCTAAGGTTCAGGAGGGTTTGCTGGCTGTCAGACAAGGCATAGTTAGGACCTCCTTTCAAACGACACGCTCCGAGACTTGTTCAGAAGAGCCCAGCTGAGTGTTGTGTGGAGTGTGAGCAGACCTATGGCTTTTGCTGCACCTCCTCACAGATTTCTCGAGTTCCCACGATCCAGAGGTGGTGCGTCTATGACCCTCCACGTGCCTGGGCGTACCACTTCAGCCTTAGTTTGAGATGAGTTGAGGCCATATTCACAGAATTCTACAAGGGGTCCAGGACAGCATCCCATGGGTCCTGCTTTCCCGACCCCCCATCCCACTTTTTTTAAAAAAAAAAACCATATTAAGAAGAGGCATGACAGCTGTACGATGCCTTTTAACCGTCTACCTTAACTCATCGTATCCTGGTGAACACATCTTAATTCACCTGATTTCAGAAACCAAGCAGGATTGGACCTTGTTAGCACTTGGATAGTGTGGGATGGTGGGGCACCAGGAAATAACAGATATCGCGGTAGGGCTAGCAAGGAAATTGAGCTGCATACCTGGTCGAAAACTTAACCCTGGAAATGAATTCCACTCAGAATTTGACCATACTGGGCTGGGTGGATCAGGAGCCTGACATGAAATAAGCCAGGCTCCTACGTCCCCGTGTTCCCTTTGTCCGGAAAAGAAAAATCCTCTTCTAAAGTAGCACAGTCTTCTTTTAACTGTCTAGGTCAATTTTTATGTATAGATTTATATCCCATGTCCTTGAAAGGCTGGTGCAGTTTTAAAAACAAACAGAGCTTGGTTCCTCTCCCTTGTTTCTGAGGGTCACTTATTCTTTTTCACACACCCCCAGGCCACGACATCAACCAACTGGATCCTGGAATCTCAAAATATCAACGAATTGAAGTCAGAGATTGGTTCGCTCAAAGGCCTGCTTCTGAACAGGTAGGAAATGATGGAGTTTGGGTGGGGGGATGCATTTTGGGCATTTTGACATGAGATATCTGGGGGGGCGGGATCCTCAGGGGCCTGTTCTTTAATAAAGCCATCTAGGGAAGGCCTGATCCTGTATCTCTCTCAGCCACGGCCCTTTGCCACAGATGGGATTTAGAAGGCAGCTTCCCCCCCCCACCTCATCTAGAACTGTGTGTCCCTTTCTAGCTACGTCCCTTTAGAAAACAGCTTTGTTTGGTCTGCAAGCTGTTTGTCTGTATCAACATAGCTATTTCTTTAATTCCATTCCAGCCTGGTTGCCCAAATGGCATAGTTGCAGCTGCCTTTAGCCAGAGGAAGGAGAAATGCACTCTGTGCGTTCACAGGAAGCATGCTGCTCTTAAGAGAAAGTTCTCTCTTTCTCTCTCCCTCCCTCCCCCCTCGCTCTCATGCTAACATGTGAATGTCTGCATCATTCTGTAAAATGTATTTCTTAAAAGAAATAAACAGGACTGGCCAGCACAAACCTTTTGTCTCAGCAAAATCGGGATTGCTGTTTTGTCGTTGTTGTTGTTGTTGTTGTGAACCAGTGTGGAGAACTCTACAACTTATTATAGAAAGGAGCTGCAGCTGCTGACGACTTCTGGGATCAGCAATACAGATTTCCTTCCCCCCCCCCACACACACTCCTTAGCAAGGCCTGTTCTGTTGCTTGGAAAGAGGAATAAAGGCAGTCCGGGGGTGCAGAAGCAGCTTCGGGGGGTGCGAGGGCCCCTGGGTAGCATTCTGCCCACCTTTCCGACAGAGGGGAAGCTTCCAAGCGCCCCTCGGAGCTTTCGAAGAGGTGTTTGCAAGCTCTCCAGAGAACGGCCTGCCTCTCACTGTTTTCCTTCCCACCTTCCTTTCAGGAGGCAGTTTCCTCCTTCGCCCTCGGCTCCCAAAATTCCTTCGTGGCAGATCCCGGTCAAGCCTTCTTCCCCCTCCAACCCCGTCGCCAACAACCACAACACCAGCAGCGACATCTCGCCGGTCAGCAACGAGTCCAGCTCCTCCTCGCCGGTCAAGGAGAGCCACAGCCCCGAAGGGCCCAAGGTGAGCTGCCATCTGCTGGGCCCGGAGGAAGAGGCCGAGGAGCCGGTGGTGGACGTCAAGGGCCAGGTGCGGATGGAGGTGCAAGGGGAAGAGGAGAAGAGGGAAGACCACGGGAACGAGGAGGAAGAGGAGGACGAGGAGGAGGAGGACGACGACGTCAGCCACGTGGACGAAGAGGAGTGCTTGGACGTCCAGACGGAGGACCGGCGAGGAGGGGACGGCCAGATCAACGAGCAGGTGGAGAAGCTAAGGAGGCCCGAAGGGGCTAGCAACGAAAACGAAATTGACTAGCCTGGCTAGGAGGGTGGCTTCCCCCCCCGCCTCTTGATCCTTCTCCCTTCCTCGGGCCTCCCCCACCTGCCCACCACCCAGCGGTGACCCCCTGTCTCTCTCACCCTCGTGATGTTCTCCCCCCCCCTCCATGGGTCCCGTTGTGACCTAGTGAGCCAAGTGGCCCTGGGGGCCCATCTAGGCCTGAGTGGCTCTTCCCCACACTGGGTTCCCTTCTCCCCACAACAGCCGGGGCTCGCTCACATCCCACCTCTCCGTGGGGATTCAGTCCTCCCTTGGCCTGCAGCCAGGTCAACGGGCCTCTTTTGTTCATGACGCACACAAAATCCGTGGCTCAGATGTGAGTGGTTCCCCCCCCAAAAAAAACCCAAGAGCATGGCGCCCCCACTTCCTTCCCCCCCCCATTCCCTCGTGGTGACCATCTTCTGCCACACAATCAGCTCATGTTCTTAGATCTGACTTTTCACGCGCCAGACCGCCCAAATATTTTCGTGTGGTTTCAGGAATTCTGGGATCGAGGAGTCCTCCGACTCCTTGCAAATGGATTTTGGAAGCTTGGGCTGTTTCCCCTCCTGTGCTTTTTGTTTCGGGAGGAAGCGTTGTCCTGCTGGAAGCCTGCCTCTCTGTCTCTCTCTGTCTCTCTCCCCGCATCCCCTAAAGTCTTGGGAGCGAAAGGATTTCTTTTGTGCATCCAGTTCGCTTTGGGACATGAGGACTCCTTGATTAGCGACAGGGTGGAGAAAACCCATTTCGAGATAACGGGGCAAAGGTGGGCCAAGCGGTTCCTCTCAGAACGTTCCCTTGTGGTTGAAATGATCTTCCCCACAAAGGGGAAAGGAAGCCATTACCCCCTTTCCCCCCCTCCTTCCCCTTTTCCAGTGTAGGGCTGCAGCATGTCTACGATCTTTGGGTAATTCAGTTCTAAATTGCCAGGCTTCTCAAATGGAAAAAATAAATAAATAAATAAATAAATAAAAATTCACATGCCGGTCGGTCGTTTTCGTGATGCCAGGTGAAGAGGCTCTTCTCCAAAGTAAACTTCACTCTGGAGGCCTGTTCCTCACACCACGCCTGTGTCTCCCCCTCTCTCCACCATCATCTCAGCATCATCCTGTCCCCTCACTTTTGCCTTATTGGGTGGAGAAAGCAGCCACAAACCACCAGTTTTTTTTTTAAAGAAGTCTCTCGTTTTGTGGCATTGTATTCTCAGCTGTTCCAGCGCCGTCTGATGCTCGTTCACTTCATTTAACAAACAAATGAGAAAAAGTTACAAAAAGAGCGAGCCTCAAACCTCATAACATCTTGAGACTCTCACTATTCCTTAATCCTCACCGAGAGGAAAACCGAAACGTGCTTGTTGTGTGATCATGTATAGAATTCAACTATAAAATATGATTGTATATAATTGTAATAAATATGAGTTACCACTATTTAATGCCAGGCAGTGGCTTCTATGGCTCGGCTTTGCTTTTTTTCCTTTCTCTTAACTGTCTCTTCTTTTTCAGCCGGCTGCCTGTTTTCATTTGGGAAGAAGGGTGAGTAATAATACAGAGAAACAGGAGAGCTTCTGGGGCCAGAAGGCTTTTAAAAATGAAATGTACTTCATTTCTGTTAAATCTTCTAAAAAAGTAAACAGATTTTGTGTCCAAATCACTATAACGCCATAGTTTTCGTTTTATGGAGAAGCAGCTTGAATAACAGGCTCTAAACTACCTCCTCCGTTGTATTATCTGCTGTCAAAAGGCACTTGTAGTGTGTTAATAATCCTATATATATATTTGTATTCACTGTTAACATGATTTATTTATTCTTACTCGAATAGTGAGGAGGTCATGACAATATGCACTCTTTAAAAGAGGACTCAGGGACATCGCTTCCAATAACTGTTTGCTTATGAGGTCATTTTATTTCGTTTATATTGTTGTGCGCAACACACACCTTGGTTCAGTAGGAGTCTTCATTTGGACTTCTAAAAGACGGCGGCCGAGGTCCCCAGAAGCAAACTGTGCGCCCTTTCAAGGGAGACTTTTTGTTCAGATGAGCCCACTTGTCTACATGTTATCTTTCCAGACTCTCGCAAATGAATCCTCCTTCCAGATCTGGAGATGCTGAAGAATAAGCCTGGAACCCCTCTGTATGCTAAGAGAGCAATCTGGTGCAGTATTTTAATTTGTATTATCGTGGAACGGCGGTGTAAAAAGGGGCCTGAAAGGCTGTGGAGTCCCAAACACACACACACACACACCCTTGCTCAAGGCAGGAATCCAAATCAAAGCAGATCGGACCGACGGTGGCCCCGTTTGCTCTTGGAGGCCTCCAGGGTTGGAGCGCTCGCCACCTCCCCGTGAGAGTCATGGGTTCTGTTGTTGTACTGCTCTCACAGTTAGGAAGTTTTTTTCCTGACGTTCAGCCAAAATCCAGCTTCTTGTCGCTTGAGCCCATGAGGACGTGTCCTTCACTCTGGATTGATCGAGAACAGATCCTGCCCCTCCTCTGTAGGACTGCCTTTCCTGTATTGGAGGAGTGCTCTCATATTGCACAAAGTACACACTGCCCCACATCTTTCCAGAGCAGACATGGCAGGGTACCTTGCCTTGTCAGCCTGTTTTATTTTTTATTATTTTTTTTAATGTAGGAGCACCTTAAAAAGTGTGGTAGTGAAAGTTTGCTGGTGTCTCCTTGCTTAGCTTTCTTTGACTACCCCCCCCCCTTTTTAAAGAAAGAGCCATTCTTGAATTCCCCCACCCCCTCCCCTCCCATCTGGTACATAGTGACATTTTCATACTTATGGGGCGAGAGAAAGGGACCTTTCCATTACTGTATTTAGACCTGTTATTGAATGTAGTGATTTTTCATTCCTTAAATGGATGAATAGCTTCCTCGGGAGTTTCTCTCTCCCTCTGGCCCTCCCTCCTTTAATGTTCATGGAGAACATTACATTTAGCTAAAACAGGGCAAATTTTGAAGTGTTTGAAAGTGCAAGCTTTTCTTCAGAGAATTCTCCCCACCCTCCTCCTTTTTTGGGGGGTGGGTGTCTCCTGGAAGCCAAGAGTCCTGATCCCATTGCAAACAGCCGGACTAAGCCTATAACGATGAAAATGCATGGACCTGTCAGGATCCACGGTATATACACAAAAGGATTTGGAAATAGAAAGCAGCCTAGACAAACAGCAGTCACTCGGAGAATGTGGAAAATTATGTTGAAGTATGTGCCGAGAAAAGAATGAGTTAAGAGGTTTATAATGCATAATGAGGAGAATTCTGTTTCTACTGTTTCCACTGGATAAATGGCTTAGCAAAGATCTACCTAAGGAGGGTGTTTTTGAGGGACGATGTTCTGTGTTCCGATTCCCTCGTCGCTGAAGTCATGTACTTGTTTTGATGCTGTTCTTCTTCACACCGTTAAATCAAAGCACAGTTAAAGTACATACTGGACCTTGACGAGAAAATTACACCGAGCAGAATAAATCTGGTTCCATGCAATCCAAATTTTGCAACCCATATAAATCGTTACACAAACCCTGTGCATCATTTTCTTGTTCTACGCTTTTTAATTACAGCGTGGAAGAGAAAAGATCAGCAGTGGGGAATTCTTCAGCCCTACCATCATCACTGGCTCGAAATTTGCCTTGTTCCTCTTGGTAAAATAAATAAATAAAAACAATCCAGTAAGGTCTTGTTTCTGCTGCCTTCAAAATCCTACGTGAGGTCAGATTCAAGCTCCAAATATTTTTGTTTTGACATGTACAAATAGTGTGCTAAGAGATTATATCATGGATGGAAGCTGGGACCTTCTGAAGATATTCTGGTGGATAACTGTAGCCTTCCAGACCATATTGGACTGCAATTCCCATGAGCCTCAATAGGGTCAGTGGAGATGGAGGATGGGATTGGCAGTCCAACCCACTAGTTACAGCAACATTGGGAGACCCACAGGGTTACGCATTGCTGTTCTAGAACATGCACTCTGCTTCTAAATTGTGAGTTCCTTTCTTACAAATGGGGCATGTGTTTTCTGCATGGGTTCTTCTGATCTCCTGCATCTGTTTCTTTAAATTTTAAAAACTTGCCAGAACCATCCTTCCCAGGTGTTCCTGGTTGGGAAGGAAGGGGCTTCCATGCTTCCAGTTTTAGCAAGCCCCCCCTCTCTCTCTCTGAAAAAAAGCATCTTATCCTCTCCAGACATACATTTTCTGCTCAGAAAATGCTTTTACTGTGAGCTGCTAATGTCTGGATGTTCTTAGAGCAACCCTTTTGGCCTCCTTTCCTGCCTCTGCCCCAAGGGTGGAGAACCTGGTGCACTGGGTTGGAAAAAAGCAGATCTGAGGATGCAACAGCTGCATGTGCACCTCGAGGTGAGTGCTTTGGGGTCTGGACCTTTGTAAACTTGCTTCTCTATGATGGAATTGAGACCCTGGCCCAGAACTCGAAGAGCGTGTAGGGAGGGTGTCTTGGTGTCTTATCACGGGCCTACATGGACCACGTTTTTATTTTCTGTGAGCACCCCGGAATGCACTGGTGTTAGCACCCTCGCTGTGTGTGAACTTCCTCCCAGATTAAGCCCAGGAGCTTACTTCCAAGTACTCTAACTATGGCTAGGGTTGTATTGCGTAACCCTCAGTGGCTGGGGACCAGCTTTTCCTGCAACATCTGAAGGAAATACTTGAACTTTTAAAAAAAATTAACCCCCCCCCCACCAGAAATTCTGCTTTCCCATTTTGAGAAGACCAGATGGATGGGCCCAAGGAAAGAGACCTTTTTGGTAGTGGCTCTAACTGGAATATTCTGGATCAAGCCAAGCAGATTCCTTCATGAATTCTTCCGGGTCTCTGCTGTGTCGAAGTTGTTGGGTTGCTGTTGTTGCTGTTGGCGAATACGTTTTGTTATTTGTCTTCTTGCAAATGCCTTTATGAAGCCTTGCTTTGTAAAGCGGTAAAGGCTGGCTTCACGATTGTGGCTTTTGGGTTGTTGTGGCCATTTGACTATTTGTTTATTTTTGTGTGTGTGTGTTTTTAAGGGGTATTCTACTGACAAAATGGCTGCCCTCCCCCAGCTTGCCCTGCTTGCTTGCTTGTGAGGTGTGAGGTTCTTGAACGTTTTGTTTGGCTCGGGTTGGTCTGGCTTTCATTGTAGAACCCACTCATTGGCAGTCCAGAGGCCGAAGTTAATTGGGAGGTACTTAATGGGTCGGACCTGAAGACCACTCACCTGGGGTCCAACCCTTGTTTTTTTTGTGCAAGATGAAAGGCGTAAGCCGAAAAGGAACCCAAAATTCTGACGTGAGTTTCTGCAATTTGTGAGTTGCCTTTTTGGGAAATCGAAAGATTCTTAGAGGATAAGAGTGGCCTTATGGATTGGATAAGGGTTAATTGGAGGATCAAAATGGCCCTGGCGCACTGTCTCCTACTACTGTACAGAATGCAAATTTATTCCTGCCTGACAGATGGAAACTCAACAGGTGTCACCTGTTGAACTCCTGCCTGCGACAGGCCTGTTGAAGGCAGAGGAGGGCAATGGGTGGCTTTTCCAGATGTTGTGGGTTGGCTGGCCCTCCCAGTCTTGCTGCCCAAGCTGGGGATGATGGGAGTGGTACTTCAAAACTTTTCAGGAGCCTCCCAAAGGGCTCCATCGTGGTGACTTTTACAGGAGAAAATGAAAAGGGGGGGATACAGTCAGATGGGGCACCCAAATGTGCTTTTAAAATAAATAAATAAATAAATCTGCTGACAAATCTTGATAGGAAATAAGCAGCAGGTGATCTTGGGAAAATGGAATGAGTCAAGCAAGGCCGAGCGAGGGTCCTTTCTGGACTGAATGGGAATCCTGAATGATATGTGGCTGCCATTGCTTCTCCTCAGCTGGGGGGGGGGGAATCCATTCCCTTGCAAAAAAAAAAAAAGGAGCAAACATTAACCTAATAAAGGCACGGACTGTGCTGAAGGGGAAAAACCAGCTCCTTAGAGTGGAGATGGGGGGGGGGGAGAGGGAGAGAGGGGGAGAGAGAGAAAGCTTCCCTTTCATTAGAAAAATAATATATTTCATCCAAATAAGGTAAAAATATTTGAAATGGGGCAGAAGTGAGCACCCCGGCCTCTCCCGGCCAGGCCTTTTCTCTAGAAAAGGAGAGATTATCCGACACTCGGCAACCCTTTAAATAAATTTTTTTTTAATTTTGCAGCTGGCCCTTGAGGGAAAAAAGGTCTCTGTGCAAACACTTAGCAGGCGGGTGGTTGTGTGTGTGTTTTGGGGGGGAGTCCCATTGGGGTCTTTGGAAACGAGGGTCTCCCTCAGGCTTTTCCCCTCAGCGGCCCCCCGCCTTGCCGCCCACACCAGGCCCCTCGTCCTCAAAGGCCGTCCTGAGGGGAGGAGGGTTTTTTTTTACTCCACTTCTCCCCCCCCACAGTGGGTGGTGGGTGGGGGTGTCCCACGC